GTATGTCAAGTTATGATAAGATTAGGATATTTTCTCAATATTACAAAGTCAGTATTGGTTCCAGTGAAATGTTTAAAATTTTCTGGGATGTTGGTAGACTCTGAGAGATTGGCATTTATAATTCCAGAGGAGAAAAAAGGGAAGTTTATCAAGTTGAGAGAGAGCATCTTGGATTGTGATAAGATTAGTATTCTTAGTTTACAAAAGTTTGCTGGCAAATGTATATCTTTTATGTTAGCATTTCCGGGGACTAAGTTGTATACAAAGGAAGTAAACAGAGCAATAGGTTTAGCAGCGAAGAGAAGTGGATTCGTGCATATGACAGATGAGTTAAGACAGGAAATTTTGTGTTGGAGATTCATAGATAATTGGAATGGTTGTTTTTCTTGGAGGACTGAGAAGCATTTACAAATTACATTGGCTTCAGATGCATCTAAGTTTAAATGGGGGGCCTTGGTAGATGTTGAAGGTCGACAGTTAGTGTGCTCAGATTACTGGGGTAATGAGGATGATAGGCCCATTCATATAAAAGAGGCTCAGGCATTGTTCAACGCTCTATGTTCGGTCAAGGAGGTGGTTAGAAATCATAGGGTGGATGCATATGTAGATAATTTAGCTTGTGTGTATGGTTGGGAAAGTATGAGTGGGAAAGATCCTGTTTTAAACAGAATCATGAAAAGTTTGTGGAATTTCAGGGTGGATTATAACATTGATTTACACTTGTTGTATGTGAGATCCGAAGAAAACCCAGCAGATTGTCATTCTAGAAAGTTGTCAGCATTGGATTGTATGTTAACTGGTGAAAATTTTCAGATCATTGAAAAAAGATTTGGTCCGCATTCAGTTGATCTTATGTCCCTTGATTCTAACTGCATGGTAAGCATAGTGAATGGGAACCCTTTAAGGCATTTCACACCGTACCCTACACCTTTGTCTGCCGGTGTAAATGTATTTTCTCAGGATATAGGATTAGAGAAAAATCCATATGTATTTCCTCCATTTAGGCTTATTCTCCCTCTTATTGTATATCTTAAAAACCAGGGTGTTGAAGCTTGTACAATGGTTGTTCCTGATTTATCGCTAATCCCAGTTTGGTGGCCTTTGATCAGTCAGTATACAATGGATAGGTTTGTACTCGGTAGAAAAGGGGAAAAAGGTGTGCTTTTATTCCCTTCAAAGTCTGGGTTTTCTGAAGCTAAGCATGGATTATTGTATGATTTAATTGTGGTCAGGCTAGTCTTTCATAAGTAAATTAAGTTTCGTTGTATTTTCAGGTAGTTCTGGTCAGTGAAGTGGATACTCAGTATTGTGGTGTTGTGCAGGAGAACTGTTTGATGCAATATTCTGTTGATAGGCGCATTGCTTATCTGAACAATTTACTAGATTCTAAGGCATACTCTAAAAAAAGTTAACTCTAAAGGTTGATTTTGAAACAGTAATTGGGAAGAATTTTTTCGAAGCAACTCCAGAAGATTTGAGATTATTTCTTATTAGTAAAGATAAAGTGGGTAGGACTCGAGTTCATGATTTAACTTGTCCGTTTCTTGGTATGGCAAGTGCTAATTCATGTTTTTGTCCAGTGCGTTTGGCAGCAGGGACAGTCTCTTCTTTCATCGCACAATTTAGGGCAATGTTTAATGAGATAGGTAGGACTAAACCTTGGGATAGTACAAGACATTTGGAAAGATGTAACTCAGCAGATAGTGTTCTCTTAAAGAGGTATGTAGATGCAGTGAAATTAGAACAAGCAATGTCTCATGTATCTTCAAAACAGGCCAAACCTATATTTCTTAATAAGCTGGAGAAATTGAGTTTGTATTTAAATGATCAGTTGTTGAGGACAGATCTTAGTGTGGGAAATAGATATGTTTGTTTGCGAGATCAAGCCTTCTTTAAGGTTTTGTTCTATTCTGGTGACCGTGCTTACGATTTGGCATTGTGTTTATCTCAGGAGGTAAAGAAGCTTTCAGATGAGAAGGGTTATTTGTTAAGCCATACTGTTGGGAAAACCCTAGGTAATGGTCATGTAAATGAATTTGTGCTACCTAAGGTTCAAAATAAGGTCATTTGTCCTGTGGAAGGTTTGAGGAAATATATAGAAGGATCAAGGAATATGGGTGTTGATTTGAGGACAGGCTACTTGTTTCGGTCATTGGATTCATCAAGGACTTTAGTTCTAGACAATCATGTAACGACTTCAGCAATGTCTGATATATTGAGGAAATATCTTATTTCTTTGGATATTTATGAAGGGGAAACAGCACATAGTTTTAGGGCAGGTTGTGGTATTACCCTGATGGCAAATAACACATCCTCTTCAGAAGAAATTATGGAACATGTTGGTTGGCGAAGTCGACAATCATTTAACAGATATTCTAGGATCAATAGAATGGTGGGAACAACTAGGGTGGGTGACATGTTAGCAAAGGTATCAGTTCTGAAAGATGGGGACGTTAATGTTATTTATGATAAATTTGGGGACTATTCTAAACTTCCACAAGCTTTCCAGTTTGATTAGAGGGTTGGGAGGAGTCATTTATATTGAAAATAATTATTGGGTTTCCAGTGTACTGCATTGTACACATGTACTTTGTATTGTATGTACTGATTAATGTTTGTTATTTTCAATAAAGGATTTTGTTAAAATGTCTGTATTTATTACTTTATTATTTAGTAGTGGGTTAAGTATTGGGAGAGATTTAGTTGGTTTATGATATTATACATGTGAATTGTATTGAGTTTTATGAAAGGTTGGGTATTTGAAGTAAGAGTTTTCCTATTTTACCCAATACTTACTACCCGAGTCACTTTGAGAGTGTCTCACTTAGGATACGTCAGTATCTTAAGTGAGATCTCGCGAGAAGTGACGAGATTAGTAGAACTTGTCACATTCGTGGTTTGGCTGGTAAAGGGAAGTGAACTGTACTGCGGAAAGTACACAGTTTGCAGATATATAAGGTATTTGAGTATTGTGGGTTAAAAAAAAATGTATATTAATGACAGGTGATGCTCTTGAAGTGCTCGAGTTTTTCTATTTTACCCAATACTTACTACCCGAGTCACTTTGAGAGTGTCTCACTTAGGATACGTCAGACTCGTGTGTGATGACGTATAAATAGTCATAATGTATGCCAATACCTGAACTGTATTTATGAGAAAAACTTGTGTCATTTCTTAATTCGTCTTTTTAGCTCACCTGAGCCGAAGGCTCTGTCGTCATCGTCGTCGTCGGTGTTGTTGTTGTCGTTGTAAACTTTTCACATTTTCATCTTCTTCTCAAGAACCACTGGGCCAATTTCAACCAAACTTGCCAAAATGTATCTTTGGGTGAAGGGGATTCAAGTTTGTTCAAATGAAGGGCCACGCCCTTTTCTAAGGGGAGATAATCATGAATTAGAGAAAAATTAATGGCATTTTTAAAAAATCTTCTTCTCAAGAACCACTGGGCCAGGAAAGATGAAACTCATGTGGAATCATCCTCAGGTAGTGTAGATTCAAGTTTGTGCAAGTCATGACCCCCGGGGGAAGGGCGGGTCCAAAATGGCCGATCAAAGTTTTACATAGGAATATATAGGAAAAATCTTTAAAAATCTTCTCCTCAAGAACCACTGGACCAGGAAAGATAAAATTCATGTGGAATCATCCTCAGATAGCGTAGATTTAAGTTTGTGCAAATCATGACCCCCGGGGGTAGGGCGGGTCCAAAATGGCCGATCAAAGTTTTACATAGGAATATATAGGAAAAATCTTTAAAAATCTTCTTCTCAAGAACCACTGGGCCAGGAAAGATAAAATTTATGTGGAATCATCCTCAGATAGTGTAGATTTAAGTTTGTTCAAGTCATGACCCCCAGGGGTAGGGTGGGACCATAATGGCCGACCAAAGTTTTACATTGGAATATATAGGGAAACCTTTTTAAATCTTCTTTTCAAGTATTTCAAATCCATGATTAGTAATATTTATATAGAATCATCCTCAGGTAATGTAGATTCTAATCTGTTGAAATTATGATCCCCTTTGGGGTTAAATTTCAAGCCCCCCCCCCCCCCCAACTGAAGTTAACTGTCAGTTCTGATCTCATATGTGTTTTTTCCTAGCTGATGTGCTCAGGTGAGAGCTGTGGTCCCTGGGCCTCTTGAATTTATTTTATTTTGACAGCTTCTACAGGAATAATGTACAAAGTGTGAAAGGATTACGAGGATAACGATCATTATACAGGTATAATTGCTTCCACATGAGTTTCATCTTTCCTGGCCCAGCGGTTCTGGAGAAGAAAATTTTTTAAAAATGCCATTAATTTTTAACAAATTCATGATTATCTCCCCTTGGAAAAGGGCATGGCCCTTCATTTGAACAAACTTGAATCCCCTTCAATCAAGGATACTTTGTGGAAAGTTTGGTTGAAATTGGCCCAGCGGTTCTTGAGAAGAATCGAAAATGTAAAAAGTTTACAGACAGACGGACAGACTGACAGACAGACGGACAGACGGGGGCCGGACAAAATGTGATCAGAAAAGCTCACTTGAGCCTTCGGCTCAGGTGAGCTAAAAAATCCTACAATCCTATTTCGTGGGGGGGGGGGGCAACTTTTTTCAATGCCAACTTTCCTTCACTTCACTGTTTTTTTGCATACAATACTACACTTCATTCATATCCTTTTACTTTATTGGAGTAAAAAGTGGGGGGGGAGGGGGGCAACCAACCTTTTTATGAACATTTTCAACAGTAATTGTAATGTTGGGAAAAAAGTGTGTGTGGGGGGTTCCCCCCACCTGTTACTACATGTCTGTTACCATTATACTAGTATCCACGTGACCTGTAAGGTCCTTGGGCTTCTTGATTAATTTAAAATCACCCAGGTCATTCAACTGATGTTATGCCAATTTTCTTTCAATGTTGTTTTATCCTTTGAAGGTTTGTCTGTCTATTATCTGCCTTAGAAAATAAACTTCGAACTTGATTTAAAACACATTATTTAAGTCATTCCTAATTATTCTTAACAGATTCCCCATGATGGAGAGAGAAGAGGATCTCAACATTGTGCAGGTTTTATGCCTTAATGTGATTAAGTCATGCACTAATTTTTATATTAGTCTGATAAACCCCCAACACAGTCTGTTTGAGGGCCAGGTACACACGAATCACCTTGACTGTTTGTCTGACTAGTTGTTAATCTATAAAATCAAGTCCGGACTATAACTTTGAAAGAAAACTTCATTGGAAGCTTTTAATGGAACAAATACTGTTTGTGCCCTGAGGGTATGTTGTGATCTGGCAAGTTCAAGGTCACTGAAAAAACAAGTTTGTTTATGCTTCAAAACTTTCTCTTGGAAGTTCATTCTTTCTTTGTTACTCTATAATTGATAACAATTTGAAGTTGGAACTTCAACAACAGATTATTTGAGAGCTGAAGGTCTGTAATAATTTTGACCAAAGGTCATTGTATCAAGTTCAAGGTCACAGGCAGAGTGTTAAATTCATATCAGGTCTATAATTTTCAAATAGAAACATTAGATGTCCACATTTGGTTAAGAACAGAAAATGTATAGTTAGTGAAAAGAAGGTTATTTTGTCAAGTCTATGATCACATTTTGAAAATTGTATAGAGAAAATCAAAAATAAAAAGAACATTGCAGAGGTGGTAGTAGGAGTCTGTACTTCCTGTTATCTCCTTAGGAGTCACACAGTCCATAGAAGATAAAACATATATGAGTGCTTCCTGATATATAGAGGATATCTATACATGTATTGTGTCATTTGATATTGGCTTTATCCAACGAGTTAAAATGGTGTATATATCTGCGAGGCTTTCCGAACGAATATACACCATTTCAATGAGTTCTATTTATCTCATATGACTTTCATTTACACAAAATTTTGAGACTTCAACCCTGGCATAGTATACTAACTAGACAGTGATTCCTTAAATAACTACTGTGATTTACAAGCTCATACACATTATATACATGTATACCGTTTGTAATGTTCTGAATTTGTTTTTACAGATTTCACAGAATATGTTGAGCTAAGAGAACCAGACGAATCACCACCTGGCAGGTTTACATATTTTCTTCACTTGGAATAGCTAGTTCACCAGTTAAAAAGCCATAGAGTAAATGTATTTAATACATTTAATTGTTTTTTAGAACGATTTAAATTAATCAAGGTAAAGCAAGATTAAATTTGAAAACACATAATTATTATTTCAAAAAGTAGACACATTCTTGTCAGGATGGAATAAAATCAGATAAATAAAGTATTAAAATGCTCTATAGATGTAATGTATGATAATTTATTTGGTTTTTTTTACCCAGAACACAGACACAAGAAGAAAAGTTAACAGAAACAAGAAATCAGTATGGTAAACATCATTCTGTTATTTTATTAGTTTTTATCTAAAAGCTAAAAGCTCAAGTGAGCTTTTCTGATCACAATTTGTCCGGCGTCCGTCTTTCTAGCCGTCTGTATGTAAACTTTTCATGTTTTGACTTGTTCTTCAGAACCACTGGTCCAATTTCAACCAAACTTGGCAGAAAGTGTCTTTTGGTAAAAGGGATTCAAGTTTGTTCAAATGAAGGGCCACACCCTTATAATTATTCAAGGGGAGATAATTGTGAAATAGTCAAAATTTTGGTGACATGTTTCAAAAATCTTCTTCTAAGAAACTCACTGTGCCATGAAAGATAAAACTGATGGGGAAACATCCTCAGGGTGTGTAGAATCAAGGTTGTTCAAATCATGACCCCCTGGGGTAGGGGGGGGGGGCAAAATGACGATAAAAGATTAGCATAGAAAATTATAGGAAAATTCTTTACAACTTTTCTTCTCAAGAATAGCATAGCCATGTTTAATATACAATTGATTACCCCTTTTGAGGTCAACATGGTGAAATAAGGACCCGAGACCTGGCCCACGAGGTGACCTGTCCACCGAGGCCGCGTAGCGGCCGAGGTCAGGGCAGGTCATCGAGTAGGCAGTTCGAGGGTCAGGTCGAGAGTCCTTATTTCACCATCTTGAACTCAAAAGGGGTAATCAATTTTTTTATTATACCGATATATATTGTAAAGAATGAATATCGAACCGTTATCAATTCATTCTTTGATCGGGATCGGGATTTGGTATCCTCCGTTGTTTACATTGCGTCTGCAGGTCGTGTAGGTTTTTGGATCATGATTTACTGATTAAAACAATATTTAGTTGATAGTTTAGTTGATAGTTGAAAATATACAATGTCATAATTAACAATTACTTTTCCTCTACACAGTCAAAATGTAACACAAATTTTAACTCTTAATAAAGCCGCTTCTTCATTCCATTGAACTAAATTGTAACGATATTTTGAAATGAGTAAACCGTTAACGTTAACGATAAAATTGTTTCCGTATTCTGTATGGTTATGTAAAACATACCATGCAAAATATTAAAAACGTGTGGTTTTTCCTGGAATAATTATTATTTTACGCATTAACTTCAATTAAAAAGGAATTTTAATTAAGAGGTCATTACTAAGCGGTCATTAATTATAATGACCGGGTCATTATATCCCACGTGCAAAGATTCCTAGGTCATAATTGCTGTAAACAGTAACTTTTGGAGTCATTATTGAGTTTTAAAATTTACTTATCAGCCAATCAAATTCTAGTATTATCAATAGAGATACAATAATCATATTTATATGGAAGCATCCTCAGGTAGTGTAGATTCAAATGTGTTCAGATCATGACCCAAAGGGGTTCTGAGGGGCCAAATGGCCGATCAAATATATACATAGAAATATAAAATAATTTTCTTTAATCTTCCCAAAAATAGTATAGCCTTGATTGATCATTATTTATATGGAAGCATCCTCAGGTAGTGTATATTCAAGTTTTTTTTTCTCAAAACACTACCCCTGGGGGTATGGTGGGGACACAATGGCCAATCAATGTTTTATATAGAAATATAAAGGAAAATTCGTTAAAAATCTTCTTCTCAAGAATATGAAAGCCATTATTAATCATATCTATATTGATTCAACCTCAGATAGTGTCAATTCAAATTTCCTAGTCACAGTGCTAAGGTGAGTGATATGGCCCATGAGCTTCTTGTTGCTACTTGAAAACACACAGTAGTCTATTTTAGAAAGTGTTATAGTATAACAGCTCTATCAAACACTTTATTTTAATGACCTATGATTTAGGATTTGTAAGAATGCAGTTTTAACATGGTTATTTTTTTGCAAATTACAAAGTTTGCACACTGGATTGTAAATACAATGTTATTGAATGTCAGGTTTTAAATGATTTCAGGTTAACATCTATAAAAATATAAACAAGAATTAATCGCGATGTTGATTCTCCCGCAAAACTAGCGAAAAATGCTCGCACACGAAAAAGTTTGTTTGCAATTACAGTATGTAGTAGACTACTTTATATAGTGTCTGCATTATAACGTGTGAGTAGAGTACGTTTCTCTGGTTGTAAGAAATCATTGTAATAGTTATTGTTAACCTAATTAATTTGACGTTAAGATGTTGAGTTAAGGAGACAGTTAATTCCTGATAGTATGACAATGGTGAACTGTACAGACAAGTTGTTAGAGTTAAGGAGACAGTTAATTCCTGATAGTAGGCCAGTGGTGAACTGTACAGACAAGTTGTTAGAGTTAAAGAGACAGTTAATTCCTGATAGTAGGCCAGTGGTGAACTGTACAGACAAGTTGTTACAGTTAAGGAGACAGTTAATTCCTGATAGTAGGCCAGTGGTGAACTGTACAGACAAGTTGTTAGAGTTAAGGAGACAGTTAATTCCTGATAGTAGGCCAGTGGTGAACTGTACAGACAAGTTGTTACAATTAAGGAGACAGTTAATTCCTGACAGTAGGCCAGTGATGAAATGTACAGACAAGTTGTTAGAGTTAAGGAGACAGTTAATTCCTGAGAGCAGGACAATGGTGAACTGTACAGACAAGCTGTTAGAGTTAAGGAGACAGTTAATTCCTGAGAGCAGGACAATGGTGAACTGTACAGACAAGCTGTTAGAGTTAGGGAGACAGTTAATTCCTGATAGTAGGCCAATGGTGAACTGTACAGACAAGTTGTTAGATTTAAGGAGACAGTTAATTCCTGATAGTATGACAATGGTGAACTGTACAGACAAGTTGTTACAGTTAAGGAGACAGTTAATTCCTGAGTGTAGGCCAGTGGTGAACTGTACAGACAAGTTGTTAGAGTTAAGGAGACAGTTAATTCCTGATAGTAGGACGATGGTGAACTGTACAGACAAGTTGTTAGAGTTAAGGACACAGTTAATTCCTGACTGTAGGCCAGTGGTGAACTGTACAGACAAGTTGTATGAATTAAGGAGACAGTTAATTCCTGATATTAGGACAATGGTGAACTGTACAGACAAGTTGTTAGAGTTAGGAAGACAATTAATTCCTGAGAGTGGGACAATGGTGAACTGTACAGACAAGTTGTTAGAGTTAAGGAGACAGTTAATTCATGAGTGTAGGCCAGTGGTGAACTGTACAGACAAGTTGTTAGAGTTAAGGAGACAGTTAATTCCTGATAGTAGGACAATGGTGAACTGTACAGACAAGTTGTTAGAGTTAAGGAGACAGTTAATTCCTGACTGTAGGCCAGTGATGAAATGTACAGACAAGTTGTTACAGTTAAGGAGACAGTTAATTCCTGACAATAGGACAATGGTGAACTGTACAGACAAGTTGTTAGAGTTAAGGAGACAATTCCTGATATTAGGACAATGGTGAACTGTACAGACAAGTTGTTACAGTTAAGGAGACAATTAATTCCTGACAGTAGGCCAATGGTGAACTGTACAGACAAGTTGTTAGAGTTAAGGAGACAGTTAATTCCTGAGTGTAGGCTAGTGGTGAACTGTACAGACAAGTTGTTACAGTTAAGGACACAGTTAATTCCTGACTGTAGGCCAGTGATGAACTGTACAGACAAGTTGTTAGAGTTAAGGAGACAGTTAATTCCTGATAGTAGGACAATGGTGAACTGTACAGACAAGTTGTTACAGTTAAGGAGACAGTTAATTCCTGATAGTAGGCCAGTGGTGAACTGTACAGACAAGTTGTTAGAGTTAAGGAGACAGTTAATTCCTGATAGTAGGACAATGGTGAACTCTACAGACAAGTTGTTAGAGTTAAGGAGACAGTTAATTCCTGATAGTAGGCCAGTGGTGAACTGTACAGACAAGTTGTTACAGTTAAGGAGACAGTTAATTCCTGATAGTAGGCCAGTGGTGAACTGTACAGACAAGTTGTTAGAGTTAAGGAGACAGTTAATTCCTGATAGTAGGACGATGGTGAACTGTACAGACAAGTTGTTACAATTAAGGACACAGTTAATTCCTGAGAGTGGGACAATGGTGAACTGTACAGACAAGTTGTTAGAGTTAAGGAGAGTTAATTCCTGATAGTAGGCCAGTGGTGAACTGTACAGACAAGTTGTTAGAGTTAAGGAGACAGTTAATTCCTGATAGTAGGCCAGTGGTGAACTGTACAGACAAGTTGTTAGAGTTAAGGAGACAGTTAATTCCTGACAATAGGACAATGGTGAACTGTACAGACAAGTTGTTAGAGTTAAGGAGAGTTAATTCCTGATAGTAGGCCAGTGGTGAACTGTACAGACAAGTTGTTAGAGTTAAGGAGACAGTTAATTCCTGACAGTAAGACAATGGTGAACTGTACAGACAAGTTGTTAGAGTTAGGGAGACAGTTAATTCATGACAGTAGGCCAGGAGTGAACTGTACAGACAAGTTATTAGAGTTAAGGAGACAGTTAATTCATGACTGTAGGCCAGTGATGAAATGTACAGACAAGTTGTTACAGTTAAGGAGACAGTTAATTCCTGACTGTAGGCCAGTGATGAAATGTACAGACAAGTTGTTAGAGTTAAGGAGACAGTTAATTCATGAGTGTAGGCCAGTGGTGAACTGTACAGACAAGTTTTTAGAGTTAAGGAGACAGTTAATTCCTGATAGTAGGACATTTGTGAACTGTACAGACAAGTTGTTAGAGTTAAGGAGACAGTTAATTCCTGACAGTAGGCCAGTGGTGAACTGTACAGACAAGTTGTTAGAGTTAAGGAGACAGTTAATTCATGACAGTAGGCCAGTGGTGAACTGTACAGACAAGTTGTTAGAGTTAAGGAGACAGTTAATTCCTGAGAGTAGGACATTGGTGAACTGTACAGACAAGTTGTTAGAGTTAAGGAGACAGTTAATTCCTTATAGTAAGACAATGGTGAACTGTACAGACAAGTTGTTAGAGTTCTTGTTGAAGACATTGTAGCTGATTATAAAAAAAATTCTTTTTAATACAAATTTGAAATGCAGTTGTACAGTTAAAGTCGGTTATAATAAGGTCACTGCGACCTATGAAATTTCTTTGCTATATCAATAATTCATTATAACTGTATAAGAAATTCATGAAATCTTTATAGTTTATCTAAGATAACTTCACTATATGTATCTGTACATTCGCAATATCCGTGTTCGTTCTAAACGAGTTTACCTGTACGTAGGTATTTCGAAACACCGATATCTCAAACACCATGGATACTGTAGATTGACAAATAATCACGATAGGTTTTAATTACATGGTGTTTGCAATTTATTTTTTTTTCACGAAATTAAACTTATTGTGAATGCTATTATTGGATTTAGAAACATCTAAATCCTATACAAAATTCAGATTAATTTTTCTTACAGCGTGAAATTAAAACCATTGCTATTGGTAGTTTTTTGAGAAATTGTGAAATTTTAGCATTATGGAATTAAAAAGACTTGCAATATGTCAAAGAAATATGTTTAAATCCCAACTACTTATTCATAAATTATGTACCCTTGATCTCTAGAACCCTTTGAAACCGCATAAGCAGGGTTTTTATCAATTTTTTAAATATTTTGGCATTATTAAATCCTTTTATAATCATTGCATACAAATAATGTTCATGCTGTAATCTGTTGGGATATGAGTGGCAGAGAGAGAATTCAATAAAGTGTTACATTCAGTGTTATAGGTTTTGAAGAGAATGCTTTAAATTTGATATCATTTGTTTCTATCATCAGTGTTTGTGATTACGAATGCTTGTTTATCTCTATGAACAGATGACTTATGATTTGTGATAGCAATTAATGTAGATTGGTTTAATTGTTTATGTGTATATGTGTATGAATTATAAAAAAAAATGAAGTTGAGTGTTAAGTCGTTTGAATGTATGTAGGTCATATTTTGATATAAAAAGTTCATATGAGGTTGCAGACTTTAGTTTGTTTTATATGAAGAGGACAGCACTGTGTAGGTTAATATCAAGAGACTTCAGTTTGTTTTATGAGCATGTCTACGAGAAAACCATGCAAGAGGTTATGGGAGCAAGGTTCTCAGATCAACTTCATGTTTTGTATGTAAATTTCTTCTATAATATGAAATATTTTGCCACAAATTTTTTTTCAGTGTGGTCTCACTTAAGGGGGTAAATCGACATTGTTACTAAAATAGAATTCTTGGTCCTTACGCAGGGTGAAAACAGGAATTTTATAGGATTTTGAATTTAAAAATTCGGCATTTTACTTGATAATGATATAAAATATCCAAATATGGCTGAAAGCAACAAGACACACTTGTTTCAGAAAAATTTTCAGAATCACAAACTGTGCCCTCGTTTAAGTGCAAAAAGGTCACAAATCTGGCATATTTCCAGATTTTTGAAAACTGGTGAAAATATTCATTTTTCAAAAACCCACAACTCAGAAAGTAACGCTTAGAATCAACTCAATCTCATACCAATTATTAGACAACATGTCTGTCTACATTATATAAAAAATCTGTCTTTGGACTCTCAAATATTGTGCTGTATTTTTTACTTAAAGTTTGACATTTTTTGTAAATTTTCAAATTTTCTTATCCCTGAACTTCAGCAAGAAGTTATGCTGATTTAAATATTTTCAAAAATTTAAATTTTACTATTAAAAAATACCAGTATATTGTTCATTTTTGTTTTCAATCAATAATTATTTCTTAGGGGGTTAAATGGGGCTAATTTGGGGGGGGGGCAGAATTGTATTATGTTACATTTCCTTTGAGCAGGGTGATATTCACATACTGCTTAGTACCTATTTGTCAATCAGTAGACCAAGTGTGTTCGCTCTTATCTTAAAAAAAAAAAAACATTTGCTTGATAGATAATAAAAATAGTACACCTACTAAGTAAGTAGATGGCCCCTTTTAATTTGGACTTCACAAGGTCAAAGGTTATAATTCTTGATATACCAGTATGTAGATAATCATTCAAAATCTTGAGGACTCATTGCTTGACAGACATCAAATTTAGTACACTGGTTTCTTGAAAAATAGAGGACCCCTTTAGATTTTGAGGTCACAATGTCAAAGGTCAAGGGTCAAACTGAACAAAAAGGAATATCAGAGCCATTTTCTTGACAGGCATATTGTCATGGCAACAAACTCAAAATGAATGAACACCAAGTTTAAAAAATCAACAAATTAGAACATTTATAAATTTTAATTTCATTGCAGATTAAAATATTAATATAACTCAAGAACTAAGTACATACAACAATAATTATTTACTTAAAATTGACTGCTTCCTGATATTTTATATTCACTTCCAATTTTAAAATGACATTGAAATTTTGTATGCTTGAAAAAAAATCTACTTGTTTAAGTATACATCATGGTTCTAAATAAAGGTAAGATTTAAAAGAAAAAAATCACAGTTTCTCCAAATCATTTCTGAATTATTTGCTTTACCTGTATACAGGAAATTAGTCTTTATAATAGTGTTATATTTGGTAAAACTATAGCACTGTTGACCTTTGATTTTTTCTAACATAACAAACACTTAAAATTTACTCTGAATTTTTGTGTATTCCTGCAAGTGAAACCTGATATAAACAATGTTTAAGTACATGTACCGATAAAATAGTATAAGTTAACATACATGAAATACCCTGAAATTTGGCTACTACGCAAGCTTCTTCAATCATAAATTGTCTTTTTTCTTCATGTTTGATACACCATTTGGGTTGATCTTGAGGTCTCAAGCTTTCAAAATCTATAAGGTGTGTCCAAACGATTCTATTCAGTATGACCCCATTTTTTTCCTATGTAGCATCCAATAACTTCTGGAGAAAATTTAACAAACACTGAAATTTCCAATTCTGGTTTAAAGAAGAACTGGACTGTCTCCAAATACACAAAAGTAGTACTCAAAGCATGTACCTGTGAAAAAGGACAGTTTTCAAATAAAATTGAAATAAACCATACTAGACATATTCTAAGAGTTTTTAAATAAATGTCATGTTTATGATAATGCTACATTTATATTTATCAATTGAAGAAAATGTCATCAAATGACTTGGGTAAGATTTTTCACAAATTCTTCTGGCTATCTTTGAAGAAAACAAGAGCTTCATATATCCTTGAAATAAAGTAACAGAGTAGGGAAAAATGCATGTGGCAAATCAACAGACAGACAAGGCAATTCCTATCCATGTACTATAGTATACAGATATGAAATGGGTATAAGGGAAATAGCAAATCTATGACTCCCCGAGGGAGGAAACTATTTCCTGGAGGAAATAGTTTTCTGCCAAGGGGAATTATAAATTTGCTATTACCCGAGTTCCCATTCCATAACTTTTAATTATACTGAAACAATGATAGGCGATTTAAAATTTTTTTAACCAGATATTCTGACATTTAAAAAAAAAAACTGTAGATGCATAATTACAAATGCATGCGGTTTAACACATTGCATGATAAGTGAAGTATCGTATCCTTAAAAAATTAAATTATTTTTAAAAAGTATTTTCACTGACATTTTGAAAAATTATCGTTGTTTTCATGTTGCTAGAATTCAAGTATGATTTTGACATCGCACATCGAAATGTTTTGACGTCATAGCTACATTGCTAATAACATGATGTCACAGACTCGAGATTCCTTGAACGCTCCACCCACTGAACACATTGATTGGTTAAAATTACTAATAAATATTCATGAGGGAGTAGCTCTGATTTTCCAGGGAGTAGTCTTCAGATGAGGGTAATAGTCACTTCTCTGGGAAATAGAGAGTTTTAAGGTATTAATTTATACAGAGTAATTACAGTAGAGGTATAATTAATATTAGATAAGTGTTAGATAAACGGCATCCTACTAGCTTGGGCTAGTGGGTTAACCCTTTAGATCAATCGGTAGAGCACTGGACTGGCAAGCCAGATGTCCCGGGTTCGATCCCCAGCAGAGGCATGAAATTGTCTCTGTTACAATATAACATATCCTTACCATTTTCTCAGCAGCGGTAAGTAAATGGTAATGCTAATGCTGCATCTGCATTGTCTCACCTCTTCTTATTTCTGGATCCTGTTCACAAAACTACATTGGAAACCCTATGTAGTAATTCTATAGCTCCACAGCTGAAAATCCCATTGTAAAGCCCACCCCTAACCAGGGAAATGAATTTGAATAATCTGAAATTGCACAAGAAATATAAATATAAAAGGAAATATTCTTTACAAAGTATAATTTCCCAGACTTATATTTATAATATTAGTTATGTTTTATTTATAATATTAGTTATGTTTTAAACACAAACCTGTCAAGGAACACATGGTGACCTTTAATTTGAAAAGTCTGCACAAGTATTTCACAACTCTTTTTCCTTTAATCATATATGGAAACCTAAAATCATTACTGTAGCCATCTTCAAAACATTTCATAAATATCTGGAAAAAAATTTGTTTAATGAGATTCTTTATAATCATGCAGCCCACATATGAGGCAATAATGGTGATTTAATTGACAGTGAAGACCCACCTATCCAATTCTTAATGTACCCTATTAGTAAACAGTCTTTGAAAACCCTGGACCCATTCAACTTTTCATTCCCTCTTCATCACCCCACAAAGGCTACTTGTGCTATTCATTAATTCTGCAGATGTGAATATTTTGCAATATTGTTGAATTAATACAGATATTTTTATTGCTACATGTACAAGTACCAACCTTGAAAAATTTCTCTTGACAGGTTTGCTAGGTATATATTCAGGTCCAGTACAATCACTAGATTTAGCTACATAGGTAGTTTTGATAGAAATAAATTACTTTGGTAGCTAAATAAAGCTACTTCAGGTAGGTGAATAAAGCTACTACAGCTGAACTAAGTAGGTAAATCAAACTATATCTAGTGATTGTACCAGGCCTGATAGTGTCTTGTAAAAAATCTTCTCTTCTCCCTAATCAAGTCCCCATCAAAATTATTTATTCATTTATTTTTTATATATCAATAAGCCTTTTTATAAGGTACATAGTATTATAAACCAAGATCCACCTACCTGTTTCTTTTTCAAATTCAAACATTGTTGATTCGGTATCATCATCACTACATCCGACTTGCTACCAAATGAATGTTCGCTGTCAGAATCATATTCATCAAAATCAGAGCCAGAATATGAAGACTCGTTAACAATTCACGCACCTGAATCTTTTTCTGAGGACGTACAAAACGGTAACAACAAACAAAACGTCTCAGGATGCAACAATGTTTACACGTGGTTAAGGAACCGCGTACATCGATCCCGATGGTTTTCATGATTTTTATGCATTTTATACAGAGGCCACTAGTATATACGTAACAAATTACTTTCACAGGAGGGACAATTTTCTTCAAATCACAGATAATTTGTGCCTAAAACGATTAGATGACAGACATCTGTTTATATACTTCGTAAACATAATCATTATCTACCTTTTCTACAGAAGAGCGCAACAGGGGAGATAATTCTAACAAAATCTAAATAAAAAGTAAAAAACGTTTTTTACACAGGAAAAGCAGGAAAAAATATATTTATAGCTTTTATAAAATTAAAAATAATTTTCATTCTTTATATTTGTAAATATTTTACACGAAATTCATTAAAATTACTGTTTAAAGTAAAACTTATAAAATCATGAATTTTTCCCTCATTTGAATTTGAGGTAATTTCATTACGATATAACTTTTCTGTCCTTGAGAGTCCAAAGGTGGATTTTACATATTGTTTAGATAATATCATAGAGATTCTTAAATGCACAAAATTCTGAAAAAAGAAGCGTTACTTTCTAAGAAATTTATCCCTGAATATTAACAAAAAATGAACCATTGCCATTTCTTGGCACCATGCCAATATTTGTGCCCTGGGGACAGCCTTCTGTATAGGGGTTTTACAAAAAAAATTGATTCCAACTTAATTTTACGACCTATTTCTATGAGAAAACATTGTCCTTTTATTTATATATTGTTTTTTTCTTTTTTATTTTTAAATATTGAAATTGTCATTTTACACCATTTTTTTTTGCATACACAAGCTTTGATTGGTTAGAGTTGGGTGTAAATTTCCGTGCACCTAACCTGGTCTCCTGTCTCATCCTTGCCAAGACAGGAGAGCCAGCAGGATTACATTCTATGCTTTCCTTGGATTGGTCAGAACAATGCGCGCTAAATCATAGATTATTGTGCTGTTAACTATATAATAAATATCGACGTAACAATGACACATTACATCAATAGCTTAGAAAAAAATCGCCCTGAATCCATTGACGCGGAGTATATGAAGCATAACAGGGTCAGGGAACCAGGCTATTGTGCACCCGATTTGAGCCGAGGGTAAATAAAACATGACGTCACAATACATACTTTTCCATGATTTTACCCAAAAAAAAACATGACGTCATGATTCATTGTAGTACATAGTTATCTTATCATTAGATTGAGACACAGTTGATTAGACTGATGATTCCAAAAAAAAAATTATGGGTAGTACATAGGAAATAAACTCGTTATCCAGATTCAATCAAAGGTGTACATTGATTTACCCAGGGTTGTAACATTCCATAAACCTTTCGGCCTAAGGGTGTATGGAATAAAACTTGGGGGATAAATACCCCTATACACCCTTGTTTGGACTTTGGAAACTAATAATGATCGCAAAAATAACCTACAAACAACATAAATCTGAGAACAGCCTGTAACACTGAGACCCTCGGAACCAGGTACCTAGGAGGGGTAATCATCCCCTGTTGACCGGTCAAACTCGCCGTCATTATCCCTAGGTCTTTATACAGTAGATGAGACATATCATTACACCCAATGATTAGGTTATATTTGATAACAATGTCAGACGAGTTTGATAACCATATAATTTACAAAACTCTGAGTAAAGCTAACCACGACTCGTAAATAGGCAAAAGCCATTATTGTAAGTTTCTTTGGCATCTTACTTTCCTGCATTATGGGTTTTTTTTCACTACGGAAAACTGTATAGCATGCGCCCATCTGCACCTGTGGCTACTTGCTACTTAACAGTAACTTAGTCAGCCACTTTATATAGGGATCCTCAGATATAGCAAAAGGCCAATCGAATATGGCGGACACATTCCTTAACGATTGTGTTCAGCTTTAAACATGTTAGTTATTCCCCTGCAACAGAGTTGGAGGATATAATTATGCAATTGTGTGGTGGTTTTCAGCTCTATTGGTCAGAGACCAGAAGAGCTTATGCGATAGTAATGCGCATAGGTTAGGGTTAGCCCTTGCCCATAACTTTTGATTTAGTGGAACTATGACTTTCATATTTCACATGTATATTTCTTGTGACAAGATCTTTCTTTGGGTACCACCAATTTTGACCTTGGACTTTGACCAACTTTTTACACAAATATTGCAAACGTTTACTTTGGCCATATCTTAAGAACAGTATATACCAGGACATTTTTACTTGACATGTATATTTTTTGTAAAAAGACCTTTCTTTGGATACCAGCAACTTTCACCTTTTGACCTTGGAGATTTCCTGCTGCATACTAACGATGCGTTTGTGATCTGTTTTATATCTTAAAATGTAATCGTTGTGAGGAAACCTTTCATTTGATACCAAGAACTTTGACCCTTTGACCTTGGAGTTTGACCTACTTTTAAAAAGCAAACCTTGACCATAACTTTTGACGGTACTTGGACACAGATTTGGAGGTATTTTTTCTGTATAATATTACAACTTATATATTTTAATAGCATTTCACACAAAAATTAATTAAAAATCTTATTTCATTTAAAAGTTAGTAAAACTTTAAATTTTTGGCGGGTTTGATTGACACATCCTTGTACTTTCACAAATTTTAAGTTTATTCTTAATACTTAGGAAAAGTGGCAATCTTGTTGTGTATAAATGAAAAATATTAATACTATAATCCAGAAAAATCAGAATAAACATGTTCGAAAGCAAAACAAACACACAATATATTCTCAGTCCGTGCAGTTGTGGTAAGACGACTTTGACGATTGAACGCACACGGTCAATCGTAAACAATAACAGAGCTCCTGCCCTGTTTACAAAAACTGTGTACATAACACGAGTATGATCGATTTGCAAACAAGACTTAGTTCGGAATGACGGTACTTGTGAAGGAATTTTGCTTTTTAACATTTCTACTCTGAAAAAAAAAATATTTTTCCGGATGAAAGTCTTAATATTTCTCATTAATACTCAAAAAGACTGCCACTTTTCCTAAGGATTATGAATAAAGTTAAAATTTGTGAAAGTGCAAGGATGTGTCCTTCAAACTCACCAAAAAAAATTGAAGATTTGATAACTTTTAAATGAAAAAAGATTTTTTCAATTAACTTTTGTGTGAAATGCTTTTGAAATATAGAATTCGTGGTATTATACAGAAAATATTAACTTCAAATCTGTGTCCAAGTACCTTTAAAGGGTTAGGGCCAGTGTATTCATACTTTACGTATTTAATTCTTGTGGCAAATTAAGACTTCTTTGGGTACCGCCAAAGTAGACCCTTTGACCTTGATCTTGGAGTTTGACCTACTTTTCAATATTGTAACCTTGGTCATAACTTTTGAAAGGTTAGGGTTAAGGCTTCCATACTTTACATTATTATGTATTCTTTGTGGCAAGCCTTTTCATTAGATACCGATTACTTTGACATTGGAGATTTTCTTACTTATGAAAAAACTTTAACCTTGGCCTACTTTCATATTTCACAATTGTATATTTCCAGTGAGAATATCCTACTTTAGATACCAATTTATTAAATTTGCATAATTATAGGAAAAGTTACCATATGTTATAAGGTATGTTACCATACGCTATGTTACCATACGGCGGCATCAGTGTTTCACAAACACATCTTGTCTTCTTTTCTTTGAAACACAGTGAAATATAGGCACAGTAAGATAAATTGTAAATGTTAAACTTTAAACTTTTAATTATTGTTATTCTAAAATATATATAGTGTTCATGGACACACGCAGTGTTAGCAGTAATCTTCAATTATAGATTATAATTTATTTAATTTTTAAAATTCAAAACAATATACAATGATTTACGGGCGTCATCAATATAAACAATTCGTATGTACACAGGCTGCACAGTCCAGTCCGATGTTGCACTAGATTTATAACAATTTGTCAAAATCATGAATAGAAATTTCCATTTTCATCAAATAACATGTGTTTTCAATTCCTTGTAGTGTCTTCGATTTTGTACGCACCGCGTTGAAAAATTGTATGTACCTATCTCAAATCAATAAAGTAAATATATATATTCTAATAACTCTTGAGTTGTTTGAACAATTATTTTGTCGTTTCAACCGTATTAAAACATAATTATTTGATCGGACGACCGACATCGCTTTTTGGCTCACCTGAGCCGAAGGCTCTGATCACATTCTGTCTGTAGTGCGTCTGTCCGTCCGTCTGTCTGTCTGTAAACTTTTCACATTTTCGACTTCTCAAGAACCGCTGGGCCAATTTCAACCAAACTTGCCACAAAGCATCCTTGGGTGAAGGGGATTCAAATTTGTTCAATTGAAGGGCCAAGCCCTCATTCAAGGGGAGATAATTGAGAATTAGTGAAAATTGGGTGGTATGTTTTAAAAGTCTTCTTCTCAAGAACCACTGTGCCAGGAAAGATGAAACTTATGGGGAAACATCCTCAGGTAGTGGAGATTTAAGTTTGTTCAAATCATGACCCCTGGGGGTAGGGCGGGGCCAAAATGGCCGACCAAAATTTTACATAGAAATATATAGGAAAATTCTTTAAAAATCTTCTTCTCAAGAATGACAAAGCCATAATTCATCATATTTATATGGAAGCATGCTCAGGTAGTGTAGATTCAAGTTTGTTCAAATCATAACCCCCCGGGGTAGGGCGGGGCCAAAATGGCTGACCAAAGTTTTACATAGAAATGTATAGGAAAATTCTTTAAAAATCTTCTTCTCAAGAATGACAAAGCCATAATTCATCATATTTATATGGAAGCATGTTCAGGTAGTGTACGAGGGGTTATCAAAAAGTTCGTGGACTAGCGTCATAAAATTAAAACCGCTTTAGGCACATCAATGAATTTTACCATATCTAGTTAGCATCATCTTTTCTATTTAAAGAATAAACCATAAATCATAAATGTTATTTTTCAATAAATAAGTAAAGTTTTTGTAAGCAATGGTATGTCCAGACGGCGCAACCTCGAAAACGACGTTTTTGCGACGTATGTGTAACCGAGAAAAACTCTTTTGATATGATCAATTGACATCCAAAAATCCTGTTAATTCAGGTATGTGTCAGGGCACAATTGTTCCATAAAATGTGAAATTTTCACTTCATTCTAGAAGTTATATGAATTTTTATCGTAAATTTTACACGGAATTTCCAAACAAATTTGACCTTGAAAATGACGTCAAAAGGGGGGAGGGGTTTCCGTTTCCAATATTCTATAAAGTTCTGCCCCTGAAAAAACTGATAAAGACTTAAAATATGTTGAAACTGGCTACAGAGAAATAATATGCATCCAGAGTACTTGTCTTTTAATGTTAAAAAAGTTTCAGAGAGAAAAGGGATTTGCAGTTAAAGTCGATTTGCAGTCAAGGTGTGAAAAATCAATCACGTCAAAAAATTACGTTGATCATTTGTTGTAGATATTGAACTCCCAAAAGCAAAATATGCAGACACAATCAAGCGCGGATCTCTCCCAGTGTATTAATCCATTTGGAATATTACATTCATTAAAGGCCACTGTTCATGACATTGTCATATAAACAAGGTGGGTTAAAGTCCTTACTCAGTTCCAGGGAATCTGATCAAAAAAGTGTATGAGGTAGAAGAATTGCACATTGAAAACAAAAAATTACGTTATCGGACGTCATGAAAATAAACGACGACAGCGCCGGGTAATCATATAATGTAGTTTTTATTCTA